AATAAATTTAAAAAATAATTTGTATTTTTGATAAATTTTGCACGGTTTTTCACGGTTTTCCACTGTTACCGCGGTAACCGTGCTTACCGCCGGGGTGCGGTAACCCTGGCCCCGACGGTTTGGGAAACCCTGGTTCCCACATAAAAATTTTACACCATATCACATCGAACGTTTAAACACCTTTCATGAAGTATTAAATGTAGGCTAAAAATAACTAATTGCACATATTGCGACTAATTTGCGAGACGAATCTTTTGAGCCTAATTGCTCCATGTTTTGACAATGTGGTGCTACAGTAAACATTTGTTAATGACGGATTAATTAGGCTTAAAAAATTTGTCTCGCAGTTTACAGCCGGAATCTGTAATTTGTTTGGTTATTATGCTACATTTAACACTTCAAATATGTGTCTGTATATCCGATGGGACACGGCAAAATTTTACCCCTAGATCTAAACAAAGTTTAAGTTAGTATTGACCCCGACGACCATTTATCCTGGCTTCGCCCGTGCTTCATTCGGACTCCGATTACCGCAAACTTATAGTCTTCTTTGCAGTAGCTACTTTATGTGTAGGTTCCTATCGTCTATTCGAATAACGATTCAAAAGTTGAAATTTTCAAACCTCACTTTATTTTTTGGAGTTTGTAATGACATGGGGTATTACACTACTAGTTTAGATTGGAATCCATATTTTCAACACTTTGTCTGTTTTCACATATGTACTCTTTCTAAACATGCTAAATATAAGTTAACATGTTTCCCCTGAATTTGTGTTGTTTTATTTTTTCTAACAAGCTATTGATGCAAAAATTGAATCAACACGCGAAGACCTGAGAGCTTTTCTTAATTCTAATGCAGGTCCTAAAATTTAGGTTCGTAGTATACCAGATCATACAACTAACCTGGATTTTTCATATTTTGATCCTTTTGAAAAACTTATTTTGCAAATAGACCCCTAGAAAAACTTATCCCAAAAACGGTCCTTTTTGGGGCGCCAGAGTGGCTGGCGCCGTCGTCCAACAGGACGGCGCCAGCCTCTCTGGCGCCGTCCCCCTGCCGACGTGGCGGGGCGATGCTGAGGTGGCTAGGGGGAGTGCGCCAGAGTGGCTGGCGCCCCCCCTCCCAAAATTTTTTATTTTTTTTATTTGTTTGATATTTTTTTTCACGCTTAGGGACACACTAGAACCTACCATAGAAAAATTGAACTCAAATGGACGTAATATGTGACCTGTAGAATTTTTCCTCTCCTCTCCCCTCTCTCCGAACTAGTGCAGAGGAGAGAGATGTGCAACTTTTTTATTTTTATTTTATTTTTTTGATTTTTTTTTCACACTTAGGAACTCACAGGAACCAACCATGTAAAAAATAAATTCAAACGGACGAAATATGTGGCATGTGAAATTTTCCAAAGCTCTACCGAAACACTTCTCTCCTCGGAAACACAATCTTGCAAGTGGAATTTGGAGGTTTTAAATCGGATGTAACTTTTTCTGTAGATGTCCGTGCATATATTATTTTAATAGATGACATATTTTGTCCGTTTCGGTAGAGTTTTAGAAAATTCTACAAGTCACATATTTTATCCGTTTGAGTTTATTTTTTATACGGTTGGTTTCTATATTCTCCTAAGTGTGAAAAAATATCAAAAAAATGAAATAAAAATAAAAAATTTGCATCTCTATGTACTGTTTAACTTATATATATCATTTCATGTGGTTATATTTTGAATTAGATTAAGTAATTTCATATAGTGGTAGAGTGCATTATGTTTAACATGCTGATCAAAGGGTTTTACTAAAGGAGTTATGGTCTAATTTTAGTGAAGGTGCAAAGTAGACTAAGTGGTATGCTAGCTATTTTCAGACTTAGCTAAGTGGTAGTTCGAGTTTAAATTTTTTTTGTGGTTAGTTGTATCATGATCCTGAGTGTGAAAAAACATCTGAAAAAATAAAATAAAAATGACACCGTTGCAACTCCATACAGAGAAACAGAAATGGAGGCGGGTGGGGGGGGCGGCGCAAGCCATGCTGGCGCCCTCCTCCCTGGGGCGGCGCCAGCATGGCTGGCGCCCTCCTCCTGCCACGTCGGTTCGCGTGCGCCATGGTGGCAGGAGGACGGCGCTAGAGAGGCTGGCGCCGTCCTGTTGGATGACGGCGCCAGCCACTCTGGCGCCCCAAAAAGGACCATTTCTGGGATAAGTTTTTTCAGGGATCTATTTGTGAAATAAGTTTTTCACAAGGACCAAAATGTAAAAAATCCAGGCAACTAACTAGGTGAATGGAACAAAAATTGCATTAGGTTACAGAGCAACCATATTTGGATTATTCTGGCATTATAATGAAGGGACAACAAACTTCATTTTATTCTATACTTGAAATGAGGCAACGTTTCGAGATGGTGACACCTTCAAAACACTACCACGTAGTATATAAAAGAGATAATCCATTATATGCCACTGACTTTGTCGCACGTCTACGATTTGCCACTGACTTTGTCACGTTCTACAACATGCCATCGACTTTTGCTTAACTTCTACGATTTACCATCGCCGTCCGGTTAGCCACCGTTAGTACTGTACAAATTTGTCGAAATGACCAAAATACCCCTATGACAAAAACTTCCAAAACTTGGATAAAATTATCAAAATATTATATTATACACATAAGATTGTAAACATCCAAAATTTGACCAAAAACTTGAAATATGATATTACATAGTTTTTATCCAAATTTTGAAACCTTTTCTCCCAGGGGTATTTTGGTCATTTCGACAAATTTGTATAGTACTCACGGAGACTAACCGGACAGCGATGGTAAATTGTAGAAGTTTAGCAAAAGTCGATGGCATATTATAGAACATGATAAAGTCAGTGGCAAATCGTAGACGTGTGATAAAGTCAGTGGTATATAATGGATTCTCTCTATATAAAAAATGGTAAGTTGTCTAATGGATGGAGTAGAGGGGTATTTATACTAGGAACACCCCTCCTAGCATAGGTATGAACATAAGAAGCCATGTTCGGCTAACATAAATGAGAATGCAAAAGGTTTTCTTGGGTTTGCACACATCCCTTAAACTCATGGATAGTCTTCAGTAAAAATGCTATAACTTTGTTATTGAAAAATGATATTGAGGTGGGGTTTGATGCGTTGGAAACTAGATTTGTCCCTCTTTCCAACCATGTATGCCATGCAAACCATCTCTTGACTGGCTGGGTCACACAAGCCTTGGAAGTTTAGCCTTTGTAGCATAAACCATATTCTTGTTGGCGTAGAAAGCTACTAGTTAGGCATGGGCTGATTCCTCCTCGGAGTAACCCTTGTCGTTCTCAATGTAACGCATCCTTCTTGGCGTAGTGATGAGTAGTGATGATGTCCTCAGGTATAAACCTTAATAATACAAAGGTAGAGCATTTAAGTAGTATAAAACTCTCACTAAAATTTGGGTTAAGTTGAGCAAAGAGCGAGTTCACCTCTTACTGTATTTTCCTCGCACGGCTGCACGTAATTGTACCATGATATGTTTCATTGTTCTTGCTGAGATGTAATCCATCAACTTGATTTACATCATCTTCATTTTATTCATGTGATGTGTGACGTGAACCATCACCCTTGTTTACGTCAAGTGTAGCTGGGATGTCCTTATCAACGGCACATCAAGGAGGAGGTCTGGTGCTAAGGAGGCCACCGAGCAACCCTCGATCCACTGGTCCGTCCAGAAGAGGATCAACACATTATTTCCTGGCACGAAGAAGGTGGACGCTGCAAACATGTTGGAGACGCTCCGCTCGATGGGAGCCTTCAGGTCAGCCTGGTAAGGATGCTCTAAACACTGAAACCAGAGCCAGCAAAGATGTAGAGCAAAGTCCGTTGTCCTTAGATCAGCAATACCCAGTCCACCAATAGATCTAGGGCGGCATACATTCATTCAAAGCACACAACACTGTCTCGCATTGGCCAACTCCGAACCCGTCCACAGGAAGGCGCGACACTTCTTGTCAATGATTTTGACAACCCAGCCTGTCATATTGTCAAGAACACATGGACCGAAATAGATGAAAGCATTGCCTGGACTAGAACAGAGCGGTACGCTAGAATGGTGAGGTGACCCTTCCAAGGAGGGAGCCGACACATATGTTGCGACTATATGTGTGTGGATGCGGTTTCAGTGTTCAGAATAGGTGTTTGGTTATTCCGTAGGATGAATTTTTCAATCAAATAGTTGTCCCTGCCAAGAACAGAAAAAGGAAGGATCGATTTAGAGCCATAATTTAATCTGATGAGCTGAAATTGTGCCTGTTTGGATAGAAATTGCAGGTGTGTTGCTTTGTACTGCTGTGAATACCTGAAGCCTGAACTTTGTTTGTCAGCAACGGGAGATTATGGGCTGTAAAGAAATAAAAAAATATCGGCTTGCATTGGTTTCTTATAATTTTGTTTGGGATCCAAGAGGAATTGAGAAACAGAAGGATAGTGGAATCCGTCGAATAATAAAAATGAATATAGCTTCAGATTGAGAACATAAGAGTTAATGGGTTACACTATTTAATACTTTTGCAGTTCTTAAGTTCTGACTACATTTTATACATTAGCAAAGGGGGACTGCAGGGACTGAAGACTGTAGAGGGTTATAAGGGAAAGTGGAAAATGAGAAAGATTTTTCTAGTTAGAGCCATCTGAACCATTTCTATACATCACTGTGGTTCTATGAACCAATTTTAGATTTCTTCACAAAATGCTAGGCAAAACTTAGGTTTTGTGCCCCTTTAAAAACGGCGGTAGCGGCCGTAATAGCGGTAGCGGCCGTAATAGCGGTAGCGGCCCCCTCCCGCTACCGCTACGAAGTAGCGTCTTGGATGTAGTGGCCTGGAACTTAGCGGCCGCAATAGCGTGTAGCGCGCCACAATAGCGGATGGCGAAAACGATATAGCGGGCCGCAATAGCGGATGGGCCACACATATATGTATACCCACTTAACCCTAGCCCACCTTTCATCTTCCGTCCGTCTCCCCTCATTTGCGCCGCCACCAACACAACAGCGCTTGCGTCGTGCGGCGGTGCTCAGTGGATTCGCCGGCCGGCCAGCCGGACGCCGGGCGGCAGCTACCGTGGAGCGACAGAGCACTTCCACACCTCGCCAGTTCGATTCGATGGCCAAAGGTTAGTTCGTCGTCAGCGCAGCGCCGGCCGCGCCAGCCACCGGCGCTCCGTCGTGGTGGTTGCTCCTTCATTTAGATTTGAGTTTGACGGCTTTTCTGTGCAGGTTATTAGGTGATGGTTTGACTTCTGAGCTTGCTGGCCGGTTATCTTCTCCATCGAGGTGGTTGTTTGCTGTTAGCCTGTTACTGGTTAGTGCTTACTACTTAGTGGTTGGTGCTCATTTCTGGTCTCCAGTAAGAATTTACAAGATTTACATGTAGGACTTAAGATTATCAATTTTTTTTCTAGTTGCACAATGTCGTCGGCTGCATCAACTGCAATTCAAGCCAATCAACAGTTGTGTCTGTGTCTTAAATTTTAGTTATGTTGGAAAGACATCAACTCTTTGAGTGCAAGTGTGCAAATAAATGTCTATATTTTCTCAAATTTACATATGATTATTCAATGCCGCTATTTGAACTTAGCGCCCGCTATAGCGCCTGCTATCCACGATCCGCTACCAAGACACCAATCCGCTACTGACCCGCTATCTGCTATTTATTAGCTTGTTTGGGAAGTTGTTCTGTTGTCCTATCCAACCAACAGAGGTATGCATTCTATGTCATTAACATCCATTTTCCATTTGTTTGTGCCTGATAGAATTATAAAATTTACATTCCAAATGTTTATTTTAGGATCAGAACATTTCTTTTGCTTGCTATACAATACTAATGAATGGTAACGTTCTTATTTCAATAGAGAAAACGAGGTTCCTCCACAGACTCCATTGGCATGTATGCAGTTCAATGTTTTAAGTGTCATAAATGGCGCAAGGTTCGGACGAAGGATTGACATCGAATATATAACAGCCGTATATGGGTCCTTGAAAAGCCTAACATACAAAAGCCTCCAGCAGGAACTGAGAGACTAGTGATTGTAAGAGGTGATTTGTCTAAAATGGATGCCCATTATGTCATTCCAAATGGGAAGCCCTATTAAATTGATATCAAAAATCAAAACAAATAATTAGCAATTTGCTACAAACATGGAAATTATTTGAATATAATAAGTTGCTATAATTTAGAAATAACTAATGTATTTCTCATACAACTAAAATTTATACCATTGATAGAAATAGCTACCCGATGCTCAGAACTAATATTCTCCCTTTTCTGATAACAGATAATAAGCAAATGTATTTATACCCACAAAGATTGTATCAACCAACAAATGATCCGGAGGAACGCGTGGTTGTTGTGGTCGCCGATGTGGGAACACCACTGCCTGAGAACGTGCTACCTGTACTGACACCGCCGTAATCTACCCCCACGGCGACATCTCTTGGAGGCGGTGACGCCTTGGACTTGTACATCTGCGGCGAGAGATCCGGCAACCTCGCGTCGTCGGACTGCAGGACGTTCATGGCGCGGGCGATGGACGGGCGCTCACTCAGGTCAGGGTGCGCGCACCACAGCCCGACGACCAGCACGCGCTCCATCTGCCGCTCGTCGCGCACGACGCCAACGACACGCAGCCGCTCGTCCACCGCGTCGAGGATCGCGTTCTGGCTGTACAGGTTCCATACCCACCTCAGCAGCACGAAGCTCGGCTCGTTCTCCTGCAAGACCACCGGCGGCTTGGCGCAGACGATCTCGAGGAGGACGACGCCGAAGCTGTAGACGTCGGACTCGGTGCTCGGCCGCCGCGTGTTCACGAACTCCGGGTCGATGTAGCCGGCCGTGCCGAGCACGGACCTTGTGGCCTGCCACGCTTTGCCGTGGTCGACGAGCCTTGCCAGCCCAAAGTCCCCTAGCTTGGTGTTGTACGACGAGTCAACCATGATGTTGCTTGGTTTGATGTCGCCGTGCAGGATGCATTGCTCCCACTCTTGATGAAGGTAACGTAGCGCAGCTCCTAATCCCATAATGATCTTGTATCTGTATCAATTAATTAAGGAACACTTGTTAACACAGTAGTACTCCACCGGTTCTTAATTTTTTTTATGTCATGGTTAGTTACCAGTTTTTTTTTTACAATAAAAACTTTTTAAATAACAATTTTTGATGAACGCAAGTAGCATAGTTATACATATAGCATGCCAAGTACTTTTCATATTATAAGACGCTCTAATGTTTTCCTAGTTAAACTTTTCAAAGTTTGACTATGTTTATCAAAAATTTAGCAACAATGATAACATCAAATTAGTTTCAATAAATCTAACATTAATTATATTTTGATAGTATGTTTGTTTTGTATTGATAGTGTTTCTATGTTTTTTATACTCCCTCCATTTCTAAATGTTTGATACCGTAGACTTTGTAGCACATGTTTGACCGTTCGTTTTATACAAAAACTTTTGTGAAATATGTATAACTATATGTATACATAAAAGTATATTTAACAATGAATAAAAATGATAGAAAAAGAATTAATAATTACTTAATATTTTTGAATAAGACGAACGGTCAAACATATTTAAAAAAGTCAACATCGTCAAATATTTAGAAACACGGAGAGTATAAACTTAGTCAATTTAAAAAAGTTTGATTAGAAAAAAATCAAAATGACTTATAATATGAAACGTAAACGGAGGGGGTTTTTTTTCCAGAAAGACGAGCTATCAAAGTTTATGTATTAATAATATCTAATGTCAACGAAAAGGAACAAATTTCCTAGGAATGAAGGGAGTTAGATTTAATATATTGATTTCAGGTGCATAAATTTTTTAAAAAAATTCTGGTCATTTTTTTTTATCGCTTAACTTAATGATAGTCCAATGGTTCTCATCATTCCTATTTCTTTGTCAAAGGATATGGCAAAATCAATAGAGGACATACAATTCACCAAAAGGATCTCTAAATAACTAGAATATTTTTTTTATTTTGAAGGAAGGATCCAAATAACTAGATCAATAATAACTAAAAAAAGAACAATCGGTCATGGGACGAATTGTTACCTCTCTGGCCAGGTGAGTATCCTGTCGGTGTTATAGATGTGCTTATCTAGGCTTCCTCCTGCCACAAGCTCGTAGACGAGCAAGAGCCCCTTGCGGCTATCACACCAACCATGCAGCTGCACCAGGTTTCGATGCCTCAGCTGGCTTATGATCCTCACCTCGGCCTCGAACTCCCTCCTTCCCTGAGACATGGAGTCCATCGAGAACTTCTTCACGGCCACCTCCTGGTGGTCCTCGCCGCCGCCAGTGCCGACGGCGAGGCGGCCCAGGTAGACGTTGCCGAACCCTCCTTGCCCGAGCTTCTCCTCCTCGGCGAAGTCGCGCGTCGCGGCGGCGAGCTCGTGGAACTGGTACCGCCGCGGCCCGCCGCCGGTCACGGCTCTCTCCAGGTCGGCGGTGCCGTGCTGCCGCTGCCCGTCGGAGGAGTACTGGTCGCTGTCATTGTTTGCCGGCGGCGGTGAGTTCTTGCGGCGGCGCTTCCGCTGGCGCCACAGCCATAGAAGCGCCGCGGCGACCACGCACACCGCGAGCGTAGGAACTACTACTGCCATGGCGATCGTCTTCGTCGAGGAGTTGGTCTTGGGTTGTGCTAGTGGCAGTGCTTGCGCAGGTAGTGGTGGCGCCGTCAGAATTTGTGGTGGTGGTGCTTGTGGCGATGGCGGTGATGACCATGGAGATGAAAATGGATATGGTGGTGGTGGCGATGGCAGTGGCGGTGGCGGTGGAGATGGAGGTGGTTGTGATGGACCTGGTGCTGGTGTCGGAGATGATAGATTATCGTCAAGTACATATCGATAAGAACGATATTCTGCTGGCGAAGGTGGCGAGGCCATGGGAGTATACCCGGTGATGATAACTGATGATATATCAGGAGTGGCGATGGAAGGCAACGGAGGCAGCCGCGACAGCCACCACCCCTCTCTCTCTCTCCTCAAATTGTTGAGGATGATCGATCTGAAGTTAAGGTTGAGATCTTTCTTGGTGTTGCGAAGAATGTTATATACGAGTGTTTAGGCAAGATAGCAAGAGAAATGGACGATGAATCCTAGCTACAAGGATCAAGAGGTTATGGTTCCGCGAGCTACCCAACCATATATGTGATGGGAATTGAATGCCTTTTATCGCCGCTGTCACGCCTCACGCACGACCCAGTCTGTCCAACTCCGGCTGTTTTCACCTTGACTGTTTGTTAACACTAAACAGTATCATCCGGAGAAAAGGAGAAAAGTGAAATTAAGCGTGTAGGATGGAGAGGACGTGCAATAACCGACACAATTCTCTGCATCGATTTTAATGATTCCATTATTTCAACAATTCAAAGCTAATGAGATGTTTGTAGAAACAATCTAAGAAATTCAAAACTCAAAAATTGACAACTAAAGTCACTAAAATGGAATATTTAACTTGACTTTATTTGACTTTATTACTCCGAACGTCTCAAAATGTAACTATTAACTATTAATCGGGACAGAGCCCTATATTTTAGAATGAAAAGATCTATATGCTAAACAATCTTATATTTTGGATCGAAGAGGGTATGTGATACAAAAGTATAATCATAAATATATATAAACCTAATAAATTCAATTTTTGTCATAAATAGTATATCCAAATAATAAAGTGAGTTTTTATTAAACTATTATCCTACTAAGGAAACAAAATACAACCAAGGGAGTATGGCCTGGTTTAGTTCCTAAATTTTTTTTCCCAAAAACGTCATATCGAATCTCTAGAGTATTAAATATAGATAAAAACAAAAATTAATTGCACATTGCATGGAAATCGTGAGACGAATCTTTTAAGCCTAATTAGTCCATGATTAGGCATAAGTGCTACAGTATTCCACTTGTACTAATGACGGCTTAATTAGGCTCGAAAGATTCGTCTCGCGGTTTCCAGATGAGTTATGAAATTAGTTTTTTCATTCGTGTATAAAAACACCTTCCAACATCCGGTATGACATCCAAAAATTTTCTTTTCGCGAACCCTATATATTACAAGTTGGAGCAAAATGATTAATGAAATCACGTACATTTCACTCAACTGGACTGGGACGACTAGACGAGGTCAAGTCAACTGTCAAGTACTCCCAATAATATCCCGATCGATGTGCAGACTGCAGACTGCAGACTGCGATAGCTAGGATTTCGAATTAAATATGTTCCAATAATCAAATAATAGTATATATGGAGCTAAATAAGTACGAGCCTGACTTCACATTTTGTAGGTATGTGTACTGTAATTATCTTGCCTTGATATGTGAACCGGATATTAAATTTGACGGTCCAATCTTTCGAAAGTGTTCATAGCGATGAGTGCGTATGTATTGTGGGCGTAATAGATAGAAGAAAATGACGAAGAAAATAACAGAGGAGCGACGACCACTCCCAAACGGCCAAACTGAACCTCTACTTGCACGGAGATGTGTATATATCAACGTCAACGGAACTTGCATATAAATTTCCCGTACGTTGTGCTAAAATCACGTCCAATATTTGGAGTCTATGCAATTTGATCCACTACTTTGCAGTTGGAAAGCACAGACATAGCAAAATAATAAATTATTTAAAGTATTTCGTGAAACAAGGGGTACAATATGACCGAGCACCAAACAAAAATTAATTAAGTTTCCTGCTATGACACATATGTTCGCATTTCTTTGCAAAAACAAGCTATTCACCTGCGCAGTTGAAGTGAGATATTATTACGGAGTTGCTAAATATTGGCGACATATTTTGTAGAAATAATATGACAATTCCTAGACTGTCCGATACACCTCAAGATTCGTGCAGAACACGTAAAAAATTCAGGCGACCCAACGGATGGGTATATGATCGAACTCGTAACATGAGCCTTGCAAGCCAAGGCGCTTACTGCGAGCAACCAACTCATTTTGTTTCAAGTACACAACACTTACGTACAATATAATTATATATAATATAATTATAGTGTAATTACAATATAGTTACATAATATTTATACAATAATTATATCTAACATGTTTTCACCCAAAAATATATCGACATCAACTGTTACCCTTGGTTACCAATTTTAAAACATCAATTGTTTTTAACTTTTTACTCCCTTAATTCAAAAGTATTGAGACTATTTTATTTCATAACATTTCCAAATGAAATTGGTGTACTTGTAGTCTCCATGCATCTAAGAGTTAACGAAGAAGTTATTCTTTTATTTTACAGTACTAAATTAAATTATTGACCGGAACCTGAGTAACCACAATGCTAGAATGACTCATCTCTGACGGCCCACCAATGACAAGCCGAAATACTTGTCACGGATGGCCTCACCTTTGAGGCTTTGACTGGTCCATCGGGAGGCCATAACAGGTAAGGCCACCGGCTACGGCCCATCACAGACATTAGGTCACCTGTGACAGGCTGGAATTAGCATACGACATAGGGATACCTTTGTTGGATGATAGTTCTGGCCCGTTATAGGTGACCTAATGCTTGCGATGGGCCGCGCGGTTCCGGCCATCAAAGATGAGATTTACTTATCTCTAACGGGTTTTAGCCCTAACCCGTCCGAGATATCTTATGGCCTATAAATACCCCCAAACTAGGGCAACAGTTTTTCATTCCAACCCTGCGTACCGTTCACATTTCGGGTGGAAGAGTAAGGGGGGTGAATTTTTGCTGGAAATTGGAGGTAAAGAAACTTTGATAATTATTATTATTTAACATATATCATATATTGTGTCGTATTGAGTCATATAGCGTACATTACATATATTATACAGGGGCTTGTGGAGACTCTCAGCTCTGATGAGCCGGAAAATACTGGCCCATCAGAGATGACCAAACTTTATACGGAGGGAATACTACATGTTAGTCACACTAGCCAGAAGGGCAGAAAGCCTGCAGCCATGAACCCCCCAAGTAATGTCCTCATGTCATGTGTCCTAGACCGTTCCTGCAGCTGATTTTAGCAAGTTTATTTTAATTCTTTTTTAGCATTTTATTGGTCGATTTTGTAGATTGATTCCTGGCCGGTTGCTACTGTAAGTGATTTGCCGAAAGGTGACGGTCGTTGACCTTGAGTCAACTCGTCAATGCCATCGTATTCTTGTCGATCAGCCTGCTGCGCGTCTGCTCTACGCTGGGTCACGCTCAAACAGGGATCCTCTCTCCATTGAACAAATCAAAGTTTGGTGCAATTAATTGATGTTGTTGCCCATGGCACCGAACACCGTTACACCGGACAGGCACGTAGGTTTTTCACGAGGATCAAATCCTGAAATCCTTGACTATGGGCATAGACAGATTTTTATGCAGATTTATAGGTACGTAGTAACCTTTTTTTTTCCTAATTAACCGTTGATGAACTAGCCGCTCGTAAATAATTCGATCTTTGCTCCTTTAATTTGTTTGGGTGGGGGGGGGGGGGGCTGTGTTGTGTCATGTCACGCAGTAATATGGTACATTTCACTAATAAGAATGCATAAGATGTGAGGTGAAGTATAGTACATTGAAAAGTATGACATTTCAAAATATATTCTCAAGAGTAGTACGCCCGGCCTAGATAACACCGTTAACTTTTGGCTATATTCATGTGTATTTGTTTATTCATTGTATTCAATATTTTTATATTCAATATTTTTATACAAATATATTAAATTATAATGCATAATTAAACATAAAATGTAAATCGCGCGCGCTCTCGATTTTGCCCTATCCAGCGACGCATAGCGATCCATCCGATCGGCCGAGAATGCTCCAGATATGACGTCGCTCTCTGTGTTAATCAACTGAAAATATATACTAATAGTCCATCAAACAAATAGGAACCATCTATGCGTCAAATAAATTTTCTCTTAAACTACTCATCCGATCTGTTATGAAATATTTGAGTGATCTCATCCATCTATATGGATAGAGCAGCAACCAATTCTGGGACACGACGGTTGGTCATGCCCCACACCTCTTCTCGCCTCACGGCGATTCTAGCAACGGAAACCATCGCGTCTTCTGATGCCGCCTCTCTCCCCCCTATATATTATAACCATTGTTATCAATAAAGGATTCGCTCATTCATTCTCTACATTCTTGTGTGCAATTCTCTCTCTCTCTCGATTCCTCTCGCTCAATCAATCTTATACACTTTCAACACGTTATCAGCACTTTCGCTCTCGCGAAGGAGATCGCGAAGTGAAAGAAGAACTCCATCGCTTTTGATCTAACAGAAAAGCGAACAGAAGAATCATTAGAGAAGGTACGATGCCTACCTTTCATTGGATCATGGATGCCATTCTCGGCCTCCCTCGCCATCAGCGCGCACGCCGGCTTCGCCATCTTCTTCGTCGATCGATGAGGAGGACGCGCTGGGGAACCCGCAGAGGCAGGGCTAGGGTTGGTGGCCGCCGCCACTACCCTCGCTGTCGTGTGCCTGCAACTCCGGTTGTGGTCCCCCCGCCCGTCCCTTTCGCACCTCCTCCTCCGCCTCCGGTTGCCGAAGCACCTCGCCGGATCCTTGTGCAAGGGGTACAGTACTGTGCCCACCATGGATGGATGGCGGTGGTGACAATGCCCGGCGAGCCGTGTGATCTCCCACTAGAGATGGAGTCGCTGCCAGCCCCGTTCGTCACCACTCTGTCACCACCAACCGCTCCTTCCCCACCTCCATCAACGTCGCAGCCGACGCCAAGCTTTCGACGCTCCCCCACTCCCGCGCCACCAGGATTCGGCCGTACCGGAACCATCGGCGCGCACGGGGGAGCCGCCTCTCTTTACACCGTCTCCAACACGTCGCCACACTGGAGCCGCCACTGCACGCCGTCCCGGCCTCCGCCATACGTTCATCGCCGTTCCCCATGGCTCCTGGAGCCGCACGATACCAAATGGCGTGGGGGAACGGTATTCGGGTCCGGCCGGTCTCCGACTCCGATGAGGAGTCGGGATCGTCGGCCTAAAGCCGGCCGGCATGCCGCCGGCCGATGAGGGGGACGCGGCGGCGGCAGATGGTGGATGGCGGCGGTGGAGGTGGTGGTGGATGGCGACGGCGGTGGGCGGCGAAGGGTGGATGCAGGTGGTATCGGCGTGTGGCGGCGGTGGAAATGGAGGCAGCGGCGGCGAACTCAGCGTTGGCGGCGTACCTCGGCGG